CCACCTCGTGTACGGTCGATCAAATTTCACCCTCCACCTAACTCCCGAACCCCTGGTCTGATCTAGGTGAATTTTGGATATGTTGGTCACCCAGATCATCAAAGTATTGGTGTACATCCAGATCTTGGGGAAAATTATAACCTGTATAATGGGATTAGGTGTCATACTAAGGGGAGGAGATGTGTGGGAGGTAACTGCTTTTCCATTGGGTACTGTCTTAATGAATGTGAATCCCTCCCTTGCATGGGAGAAATGCTTAAAAGGAGGTTGTGTGGAATAAACGTCAGTTCTGCTCCTGATGCTGTGTGTCGTCCAGTCATTGGGATATGTATGGGGATATTCTTGGATTACTTTGCTTATTTACTTTATGGGAATTATTACTTTATGGGATTTTTCATCACTTGTTCCTGAGCCTCACTGGGATCTTAGTGGAGTTAACCTGTGAAATACCAGGCCTTCGCTACAGTTCGTTTCACGGACAGTGTTGAAAATCACTGTTCGTGTGTGACAGACCCATCTGTATAACTATTATTGCTGGTTTGTCTAGTTTGCCTTCCTTTCGTGGAATTGCCTGTTCGTATACCCTTATTCGTCTGTTTGTCTATCTACCGAATAAACTTACCGAACGGACGGCCACCCAGAAGAGAAGTGTGCTGCTGGTTAACCTCTTGATCCCAATTAGAACGTTGTGGTTAACCGCAGACACCTCTTAATTACAACCGAATGCAGGGTGGTCGTCATTCGTATGTCGACCATGAGGCGGCGGCCATTTTAAACCATGCGAAAGACCAGCGGTGTTCGGCGCAGATTCTATGGAACTAAAAACGGACACTCTTTCTGCCGAACACCGCTGAAACCCGCAGACCGCCCTTCTCAGTCGACAAGGCATGCGAACACCGGTCGTTCGGGAGTTTGGATTATACGAATGGACTTAACCCAGATAGCCTTCCCATGGAGTCAATCGCATACCGAAAGACTGTAATAGACTTTGACTCCATGGCGATTGAACTGTGCGTATGGGATCTGAGCGCTATTCGCTAAGAATATGCACTCAGATCCAGGCTATCTAGGGATACATTGCACGAATGTAGTATGTTCGGTAGTTGTGTAATTACTTATTTTTATGTGTTTTTCAGGCTTTATTTAAAATGGCGATTTCCCTCTGTCCTGGAGATAATTGAATTACTTCTCAATTATCTCCAGGGCAGAGGGGAGGAAACCAGGATGCATTCTGGGAATATTGTGTGCATGTATGTCTGGAAGTGCCATATGTCTGTCTGCAATTACAGTCTCCCATTTGGTCCCCTAGGGGAGTGTCCACCAAGTGGGAGACCTGCATAAATATGGGTGGGTAGCCCACAGTAAAGCCAGTTCTTGTTTTACCCTCAATGCGGAGCTTGGTCTCGTTATTGGTGGGGATTTACTACACACGGTTAGCGACTGATTGCTGGAACCGTAAGCCGCTTGGAGGATATATTTGTTCGGCTGTTAGCAACGATTCATGGATTATTGTTCGGGAGTTTGGAGCATCCGTACGGGTCCCGTTCGGGAGATTGGCT